CACCCTCCACTGGTATGGTCTTATTAACACAATAAAGAAAGTCTTATTCCCAAATGGGATTACATTCATATAGGGGTTTAGGATTTACAGCACATGTTTTGGCAGGACACAGTTTGGTCCATAACATAGAGGAAGGGTCAGATTTGAGAAATATTTTAGAAGTAAAACTGGCAGGACTTGACTGATGAACTGATTAAAGGGTAAAGAAAGAGGTTGAAGTCAAAACTTTTCTAAGGTTTCATGGGGTGTTGCCACTGATTGGATAGAACATATAAGTGAAAGAGCTAGTTTGGGAAGAATAATTCAAAATTACCTGAAGGGACCTACAGGAAGAGCTGGTTAGCAATTAATACTGTAGGTCTTAAGTACATTTCTTTAAGATAGAAACAAGCAGTTAGAATTTACACGGAATATCATCAGTAGTTGGTTGATTAGATGATAGTTCACAAAAATAGTTTGTTTTGTAACAGCTGTTATAATTTTGGGAGCTCTGGTGGTACAGTGGTTAAAGCATTGGCTGTTAAAGCAGTTGGTTCAAACCTACCAGCCACTTTGCAGGAGAAGGATGACGCTCTCTGTTTCCATAAAGATTTATAGCCTTGGATACTCTATAAGACAGTTCTACTCTGTCCTACAAAGTCACTATAGAGTTGGAGTTGAGTCATACCAAACCAAAGAGGGTTTGGATTTTTGGGTTTATTATGATGATGGCAGGGTTGAGATGTTACCTACCATTCTCACTAGCCTTATGACCAACAGGAAGAAAGCATTCTTTACCAAAATAACATCATCTTAATAAACATCTAAATCATTAACAGCTGCTTGAAAAAGTTGGTAGATTTTGAGTCCTTTATATATGTAAATAAATTTTTCATATAAAGGAGAATAATGGACATTTACAAGCTTAGTGGCATTTACTGTTAGACATTTCAGACCTCCTCAATTTGAAGCAAACAGTATATTTCCTTTAAAAAAAATGCTCCTCAATGTATTGCCATTTATTTGCCAGTACAGTGAATGTCTTGATTATGTGAATAAAAAAAAATAAGTAGATGTAGTTTGCTGGCATGAATATTCATTTTAGATGTTTAAAGTGGTCTCAGCTTCAAATATTTAAAGTATTTGAATTAGAAAATACAGTTACACAAGTGTGTCCCTCCTGTGCATTGTAAAGAATTTAATACATTCTGTTTGTTCTTTAATACCTCAGAGTAGTTCAAATTTTATTTGTCTAAAACTTTCAAACTATAAGTCTTGATGAGATTTTTCTCTTAACGCAGGAAGTTTTGCTGGAGTTGTTAGAACAATGTGTGGATGGTTTATGGAAGGCTGAACGTTATGAAGTCATTTCTGAGATTTCCAAGTTGATCATTCCAGTTTATGAGAAACGTCGTGAGTTTGAGGTAGGCAATTTAAACACTTTAATCACTGGCCTATGTCTTTTATTTTGATCTTGGAAAAACCAGTAATATAGTTACATTACTCACTCTATACTATGTGTTCTCTTAATAGAGGGCTAATTATGACATTTGTTTTCTATCATAGAATGTAGATACTTAAGTTAGTATCTCATTTTGACACATTTTCCCAATTTTGCAATGCTATTAAATCCTATCTTATATAAAATTTCCAAGTGAAATTCAATGTAAAACATCCAAAATATGAAATGAAATTTAGATTAGACCAGTGTCTCAGTTCTCTAGTGCTGCTCTAACAGAAATACAAGTGGGTGGCTTTAACAAACAGAAGTTTATTTTCTAACAGATTAGGAGGCTAGAAATCTGATCAGGGTGCCGGCTCTAGGGGAAGGCTTTTAGTCTTCTGTTGGTCCTGAAGGATGATCCTCTCTCTCTCCCTCTCCCTCTCTCTCTCCCTCTCCTTGAACAAATAGGAGTTTATTCTCTTACAGTTTGAAGGCTATAAGTCTGAGTTCAAAGTGCCAGGCTGTAGGGGCTGGGTGAAAGCCCCTCAACCTTGAGCTTCAGCTCTGCCTCCTGCTCCCGGCCCACTGGAGCTAGAGGCTTTTCTTCCCTCAGACAGCTGCTGGCTGCTGAGACTGATCTTGTCTCTTCTGAGCTTCTCCTCCTGGGCGATCTTAAAATGACTGTCTATAAAATTTTTGTTCAGTGTTTCAGCAGAAATTTATTATTATTCATAAAAATATCCCCATCATTATTTATAACAACAACATTTTTCGTAAGCCCAGCTTACGTGTATCGAAACACGTCAAGGCTAAAACTCTATGCTTATTTACTTTTTGAAATTTCTAATGCACTCTGATCAGACCTGTCATTATTACGCAATTGCAATGACACTTTGAATCACGTGGTTTCATCTGCACGTGTTACAGCCATGCACTGTTGTTACTCCCAGTGGAGTTCAAATGATTACGTTGAAGTGATAGTTAAATAAGTCTAGGTCATAGAGATGTCTTGTCTCTTAGGCCCTTCTTTGCCAACAATTGCCATTTTGCTATCCAAGGATTACATCCTAAGAATCTTTGTAAAAGTTTCAGAATAAAGGCTCCCATTTTCTGACTCTCAGGTTCAAGATCAGGCTGTTAGAACCTCCGGCAATGTTTTACCACTCAACCAACCAATGACAGGGAAGAAAGAAAACTATGTCTTCTCTGCATAATAAAGGAAATGATGTTTTCTATAAGGGAACTAGGAGCTCTGGTAGCATAGTGCCTAAGGCACTTGACTGCTAACCAGAAGGCTGGCAGTTCAAACCCACCAGCCACTCCTTGGAAGAAAGGTTGGGCAATCTAATCTACTTCCATAGTGATACCACCTTGGAAACCCAAGGAGGGGTTACTATGAGTCAAGTCTGACTCGACGACACATAACAACAACACAACATAAGGGATCTACTCCTATTTCATTGTAACAGTGCAAGGGTATGTGTAGATTGCCCAGCATTCTGCTTGAAGTGAAGTATTTTTTTTTTTTTATGACAGTGATGTACACTTTATCTATCTATCTTTTATGGAATGGGCTGAAAAGTGTCAGAGATAGCAGTCATAAAAGTAAGAAAAAATTTCTCCTAAAATTGAGCTCAACTGCGGGAGATAATATGGAAGGGATTTTAGAGAAACAACTTTTCCCTCTGTTCACTTTTTCGGGGTGTGCAGAAGAATATATTCTTCAGAAATATCCTCAGGTCTAAAGCAGTCACCTGCCACACACAATGCTGTCGGTTCGAGCCCGCCAGAGAGCCGGGCTGTCTCTTTGGGAGCTCTGGTAGCATAGTGCCTAAGGCACTTGACTGCTAACCAGAAGGCTGGCGGTTCAAACCCACCAGCCACTCCTCGGAAGGAACATGGGGCAATCTACTTCTGTAGTGATGCTGCCTCGGAAACCCAAGGAGGGGTCTCTAGAGTCAGGTCTGACTCGACGGCACATAACAACAACAGCAACAATATACAAGCAATCCTCACTGAGTGTTTTGGTCCTCTAGTGCTCTAGGCGCTCTGGTGGCATAGTGCCTAAGGTATTTGACTGCTAACCAGAAGGCTGACAGTTCAAATCCAGCATCCACTCCTCAGAAGGAAGATTGGGCAATATAATTCCGTAGAGATACCGCCTCAGAAACCCAAGAGGAGGGGTCGCTATGAATCAGATCTGATTTGACAGCAGTGAGTTGTTTTTTTTTTTTTTCCTTGTTAGTGCTGCTCTAACAGAAAATAACCACAGACGGATGGCTTCAACAAACAGGAATTTATTCTCTTACAGTTTTAGAGGCTAGAAGTCTGAGTTCTAGGGGCTAGGTGAAAGCCCCTCAACCTCGGGCTTCAGCTCTGCCTCTTGCTCCTGGCTCACTGAAGCTGGAGGCTTCTCTTAACTCAGGCAGCTGCTGGCTTCTGAGGCTGACAAGCCCATAGTCGACAAGGAAAATGGCACAGTCCTGAGATTACCAACCAACATGGCAGGCCACTAGTTGAAGTCCAGAGACAGTTCCAAGATCAACAGGAAACATGGCAGGCTGCTGAATGAAGACTCAGCTACATGCAGGGTCCAAGTGGGCCAAAAAGCTCAGAGACCTTCTCAGTGTTTTTTCTTATACACTGGAAATA